ATACGCAGCTGTCTGAAACAAACACTACAGCTCCCAATCTCCCCTGCAGCTAGGTATGGCCAAATGACTAAGTTCTTGCTCAAGAAATACAAGTAGAAGTGCTGTATGCAACTTCTGACAACAGGTACCCTTCTTTCCTTCTTGGCTGGAATACAGCTGTGATAAATGACACTTAAGCTGCCATCTTGGACCACACAGGAAGCTGTGTGCTGAAGATGGTGGAGGAAAATACTAGGAAAACAGTGGGACCCAACGATTGTGGAGTGTCTATCCTGACCCTGATCTGCTTACCTTCAGACCTCATCTGTACAGTAGGGATATCCTACTTGTCTAAGTCGTTGTTATTTAGGTTTTCAACTGAAACTACTCTTAACTGATACACTTGAGCTGTTCTATCCTAATTGAGATGTGCTATAAGTGTCAAATACACAGTGGCTTTTGAAGACGTATCTTAAAAAAGATTGTAAAGTATATCAATAATTTTGATATTGATTATGTACAGAAATGGTAATATTTTGAATTTATTAGATTAAATAGATTATTTTTCTTTTTACTTTTCTGTTTCTTTTTACTTTTAAAAATGGGACTACTAGAAAATTTTAAATGCCACATGCGGCTCCCGTTATATATTTATAGGACAGCGCCAGGCAAGTGTTGTTCTGCTCTGTCTCTGTCTCTGCACTAGAGAATAGGTGAGGTCCCTGAGGCCAAGAGGAGCCATACAACTACCTGAGTTCCCATGTCTGGTAAATGATGGGGCTGGACTCAAGCTCAGATCTATGCGGAGCAGCCCCAGTGCTCCCACCCACCATAGCACAGTGTATCTCAACTGGTGTCATTGGGTTCTGGTGCAAGAGAGAGAACACTGTCCCAAACACTACTTCTTATTTATTTATTTGTATGTATGTATTTATTTATTTGTATTTTAATTCCATTATAGTTGACATATAGTGCCAAACACTAGTTCTTAAAGGCAGGAACAGCTGGTTGCTGGAAGAGTTTTACTGAGTTTGCCTCAAAATATGTTTATAATCTGATGAGCTTCATAATTTTATTTTCAAATTGTGTATTTCCCAGCATGTAAAAATAGAGTGTAGCCCATTGAAAAAGGAAATGAAAAACACAATTTACTGAAAGATTCTGTTATCTTTAATTTAGAAAGAAGACATTTAACTTGCAAACGTTGCCATAGATGTCTCTGCCCCACGGATCACAGAACTGGAGAAACTTGTGGAAGATATTTCCTTGGTTGCTTTACCTGACTCTTCTGGAAGCTTAAGGCCTCGAAGCTCTGTGATCTCAGATGCTTAGATGAGAGCACAGTCTATCTTGTCCCCTTATTTTGTTGTTTGTAGGTCTCGCTTCCCCAGGCCATGGCCTGCCCTACAGGTAACAAGTATGTTCAGTATTATTGACACCTATATTCACCGACCTCTTTTCCACCTCTGTTATGGTAAAGGTGGTAGCTCTGCCCAGGCACCTATTCCGTAGAAGTGGCGCACATTTTCTATTTGGAGATTGCCTGGCATCCCCAGCATTCCTGATGTCTCCCTAAAGATAATGGTAGACAGGAACACTCTGCTTACCTGAGGTGAGGAGATATCAGCCTAGCCCCCTACTTGTGGGCAGCCAAAGACTCCTCTTGCTTTTACTCACAGGGCCCTCCATTATTCTGTCCCAGGGCTAGGCTGGACACGACTGTTTCCTTGAGGTTCGCAAAGATATGACACAGCCACAGTCACCAAATAACCTGAGATGTGATCATTTTAATCTCTTTCTCTCTTTGTGGAACTGCCACGACTGGCCAGAAATGGTACCCAGGCTACTTAATTGCCTATGGAGCTACAGCATGAAACTAACAAGCTGCTCATTAGTGCACCCATTGCTTTCTCTTTCCTTCCTGTGGCTTCTGTTCCTGCTTTAGAAGCAGAATTATCAAGTTTTCTCCTAAGAAGCATATCTGTCCTACAGCAGTCAGCTCTTTGAACATTTAACTTCATCTTCCAAATCATTACAGAAAACACTTAATGGCTCTGTGCCCAGACATGACCCCTGCAGATCCCATTTGCAATGACCGTCGAAGGCAGATGGATCACCACCAGTAAGTACTCTTTGCATTTGGCTTCCAAATATAGGAGTGGTTGGGCAACTGAGGGTCATTAGACTTTTCTAAATTAAATTCCTTCTACGATCTATTTCTCTAATGCAACGGAGGGACAGTATGTGCCCCGACACAGTGGATGCTAAGTTTAGAGGGACAGAATCCATGCTCACATAGGGTATTTGTTGAGGAAAGAACAAGGAGACTGCCACCAACTGGTCTCTGAATATGAAGATCTTTCATATTCATCATGTCCATTAAGTATCAAAAATGATGCTCAAATCTGCTGTACATTCCAATGCACTATGCCACCTTCTCTTTTCAACTACATCTACTGATAAGTTCTAGTTCCTGAATTAACTCACACTAAGGAGGCTCTCTGTGTGGTCCTTGGCCTCCATCAGCAGTCTAAATTTCCTATACCTTGTAATGAAAATGTAAAAGGGTGCAGTTGCTGGCTGCAAGGTATTAGGGAATTAAAAGGACTGTAATAAATTGAAGCTTTCAGCCTCACCTAGAAGAATGCAAATGTAGTCCTAAGAACACACACGTACTGTACTGGCCGAAGGAAAACATGTCAGCTTAGATTCCACTGAAAAGAGACGAGTTTGTGACCTCGCCTGCAAATCAATTTATTATAGGTCCTTCGTAGAGTCTGAATCCAAGGCTCAAATGTGGGGTGGGGAGGAGAGGTGGAGTGGCAATTATTGTTTAAAATCCCTCACGATTCTGATATCCTGTCTGCCCCTCCGGTTGAGAATAATCAAATTCAACATTAAACAATTCTCACATAAAATATATTGGCACCAAGACATGCTCATTCCCACTTATGCTTATGAAGTGCTGGCCCATGTGTGTATTTGCTACTAGCTGCAAACCCAGATCACATTAATAGAAATCTGGTGTGATCGGAAAGGAATCAGACATTTCTGGTTTTAGGGCTGTTTGGAGACAAAGTTTGCCTACCTGCTGAATTTCAAGTATTACCAGCCCTCCGGATGGTCTTGTTTTGATAATATTTCCTTTTCCCTGAATTGGGGGTGGGGTGGGGTGGGGTGGGGAGAAAGCACCCTCAGTTATTGCCAAGACATTATTCTGGGTGTAAGAAAGGCAGAGTATCTTTAATTTGCTAATTTTGCCTGAAAGCTGTCAACAGAGGGCTAAGAGATGATTTTTTTCAGTTTGCTTTTCAATTAAGATTATTTTCCTTTCCTTTCCTTTCCTTTCCTTTTTTTCCCCCCTGACAAGCATTTATGGAGCAGCCTGGGTCTAAAGCTTAGTTGTGTCAGGTTGGGCTTAGTGAGCAAGGCTTCCAGTAGTTGGGAAAGGTGGCTGGGATAAAATCATCTAGAGACTGAAGGGAGTATAAGCTCAAGTTCAAATCTAGAGAAAAATACAACTAAAGACATACTTTCAGTGACATTTGCTCCAAGTATTCAATGGCCAGCTGATGGTGGTGACAGGACATTGTCCTCTAATATCCCTTCTCCCTTATTTGTAAAATAATGGGACTTTTCTTTAGTTGGGCCCATGGGCTCTAAGGAAAAGAATATTTCAAGCCTCTCTTGTAGCTTCGGTATGGCAATGTGACAGAATTCTGGACAGCAAGATATAAGAGGCAGTAGTATATACAATTTCTTGGAAGTGTCCTTAGAGAGAAGAAGTATGTTCTTTTCCCCTTTTTTCCTTCCTGCTGGTTGGAAGTCAAGTGGTGATGGGGAGAGCTGAAACAGCCATCTTGGGCCATGAAAGGATTCTGGGAATAAACAGCATGCATGATGGAGCAAAAAGGTAGGAGGAATCCCTAACATCATGGAGAGCCATGCCATCCCTGGTCCCCCTGGATGTTTTCCATGAAGACACCCTTCTGTCTTGTTTATATTACCTGGCAGGGCGGGGGTGAAGGCAGGGAGGCAGTTTTAGATTACAGCCAAATCTTTTCCAGACTCATACATAAAGTATCAGGTGGATGTGCTGAAGTGGGGCTGGGACATTCTCATGCTATCCCTTTGAGGCCGAGAGGGGTCACATGTCATCACTATTATACCTGTGGGAAAGTCCTTCAGAGGGGTGAGTTCAGTTCTTCATCCCATTTTCCTTCTATTGTATCCTGTGTCCCTTCTTTCCTGCCCGAGTCTCCAGCAGGTACACCTCTCACTTTTTATCACTACCACTCCCCACAGTACTTAACTATATTCTGCCTTTTAGTTTTGCATGTTCTGTAGACTGCGAGAACGTGGGGATGGAAAATGTCTCTTTTGTAACCCCTTCTCCCCCTTAGCATGCAAAACAAAGCATTACTTAAATTTCAGACACTCCACTCCATAATTGAATTAATTTGGAATGCATTTTTCAACCCCACTCATTACACCACTTCCTGTGTTTTTTCCACTCTCATCTTCAGATTTTCTGTTCTTTAGAGAAATTATCTTCACAGGAGATTGAATTATAACACTCTCTAAAATAGCAGCTCTTAACTTGAGGAAGGGGAAGATAGAAGAACTTCGGAGAGTCCACCAACTCCGCAAAGTTTTATATGTGGGAATATGAGCTTTTGCCTGGAGGGAAAGTACATAGCTTTCATCAGAATTTCCAGAAAATCATGACCCCCACTAGCCTACAGAAAAAAAGAAGAAGAAAAATTCTTTGGCTAACATGACACCTAAAATTGGTTTTTGGATGGGGGCAAGAGAAGGAACAAGGCCTACTTGGACAATGCAGTTTATAAAGAAGATAAACCCACAAATAGATCAAAATGTTTTATGTATTGAAAGTTTGTTGTTGTTGTTGTTGTTGTTGTTTCGGCTTAACTTTCTTTCCCTGGTGTTGAGGAATAACCTTAATCCTTAATCCTAACTGAAGAGGCAACCAAACAGAAAAGATCAAATATACACTGGCAATAAACTGAAGCAATGCTTTATTGCGACCACAAAGCACCAATTCAACAAGGCATTGACACACAGAGATTTGAACAAATGTCTCTTTGAACAGAGATGTAGCAAGCTCGCTTTTTTTCAAGTTCTTAAAAACAAGTACTCAAACCAAGAATCAAACAAAGCATCAGAGCAATTAAAAAAATATTACACCATCATGAAGGAATATATATAAAAATATTCTGTACTAGTAACAAGGCTTTTTGATCTGTAACTCTTGGTAAATTCCTTCAGAAACAAATCAGTATAAATACAAAACATAAAGTGAAAAAATGCTTTCTTCTTTGGAAACAAAGAGCCAATCTGAAAGTAAATCTATGCAGAAAATACCATTACCCCTTGTGAAAGAAGCTGAATATGGATGGAGATCCCCAAGACACAACAGAGTTTCTCTTTTCAGAGTTTCTGCTCCTGTAGGGGCCATGATGCACATTCCTCTCAAACATTCCAGTATATCCCAGTGAAACCTTAATAAGGTCAAGTGGAGGACCCTCTATAAAAGAGGGTGTTGGCAATTCCATCCCAATAACACAAACTCTAAGGAGCAGAGGGATTCAAGGGAGACAGCAATCTCTCTCTCTTTTCTCCCCTTCCCCAAGTTTTCTTGTCTTTAATCTCCCTACATCTGTAACCAGAGGATCATGCCATTCAATACTTTTTCAAGGATTTTGGGAAAGCCATCTGAAGAAAACCCCTTTGGTGGGGAGGGGTGTCCAACCATGTCAAAGATAACTCTGTTTGACAAGCTCCACCAGGAAAACCATGCTGTCCACAAGTCATCCTTGCTCCTCCTGGCTGAGTTCAGGTCAGCCGATGGATTGCCTAGTCTATCCCATAGGATAACGTTTCATTTGACTGAAATTCTTTACATATACACATGTATGTATTCTGTTTACAAAGTTTCATCACATGAAACTAAATTATGTCATTATGTATTTTTTGAGGTCTAAGACCCCAATTTGACTGTACTATGAAGAGTTGTTCTTTAGATGCTTTGTCTGCAGAGGTTTTACATGATACTCGTAGATTTTCAGAGCAGGCCCCAGTTTTAACTGAAGTCCTGTCAACACGTCATTTCTTGTCATCAATAGCAGGGATTTTCCATCAATTTCCTATAATGGAAGCAGAGGGTAAAACCAACATTAAGTCCAAAAGTGCAAGGATAATGAAGAACAAAAGAAGTTCAAAGGAAAAAGACATACTGATTGTCCTCAAGCTAAAAACATTACTTTTTTTACTTGGGTCAAATGGAAAAAACGGACTCCTCTATTTTTATGTTCCATCTTCCACTTTTAGTTTTGGATTAAATACAATCCATAGCTGATCTCGTTTTCAAGATCACATTCCTTAAGTCTCATCTTAAAAAACTGACGGCAGGCTTGGCACATACACCTGTAAGGATCGGAGATATTGTTTCTGAAAGAAATAATGACACTTTCCATTTATAAAATGTATTGAAGTTTGTGCAAAATTTCTGTGTACTTAATTCCTAAAACAACTCTATAAATTAGGACAGGCAGGGATTATCAGCTTAATTTTACAGGCAAACCAAGGACCAAGGCAAGAAGTTAACGTGCCTAAGATCAAGAAGTTAGGCAAGGAAAACAGGATTTGAACTCATCTGCCTAAAGCCAAAGCCGATGTTCTTTCCATAACGCCTTTGTTTCTCTTGACACTTGGAAGTAAATATGTGTAGTATAGGTGAACCAATGGGGTCATAGAATCCTAGGTTTTCTGGAATCTTGTCAATCACAACAATGGGCAGTGGAAAAATGATTCACTCGCTGTGAACTTCTTTCCTGTCCTTTAAAAGAAGAACCATCCTGCCTCAACCCAAAAATCAACCTCTCATGTTGAGGGCCCTACCATGCTTCCTCTCAGTGGGTCCCCAAGATTCCAAATAAGGTAGTGAGGGGTAGAGCTCTCTCAGAGTCCACTTCCCACCCCCTTCAGGTACCCAACCAGAGGGCCCTGAGACCACAAAGCTTTGGGGATGAAATATAAACAGGCTTTCCACGAAAGGGATATGGATCCCAAATACAGAAAGTAGTTTGGAACTTTTGGAAAGGGATCACTGAGAAAGATGCCGAATACCACCTTATTTCTGTTATTTTTTTATTGTGGGGACAAGGGAGCTGGCTCTTAGGGGGCCTGGGCTCAAGAGATGGACCAGCTGTGCATGTTGGGTGAGCCTCGACATGTCTGTACAGATATATGCCTGCACCCTTCTCCCCCACTGATGGACAGACAAGGGGACTGGGAGTGTAACTGTAACTACATAAAACTGTGATTCTTTAGTACAATGACCCCAACAAGGCCATTCCTCCAAACTCCCTTGTGTTTTGCCCAGCTATGAAGAAAATGTGCTTTGTATGTGTCAGTGTGTGGAGAAGCAGCACTGGTCTAGTGGGCTGAAGAAACACCCACTTCCTGACTGTAGGTAAATTCCTTCCTCCTCTGTCTCCTTGGTTGGTAATGTGGGGATTTGGGGGTGTCTGACAGGATTCCGTCACATATTACTTTTGCAAATGCTTCCTGAGCTATGAGTTGTACAATTACTTGTCAGTATTCCTCAACAGGCCCATGGTCCTCATGTCATTTGCCAACCACCTACCATGAACCAGAACAGAAGGACAAGGAATTACTTCTAACTGCTCTATGGTGTTTTTGAACTCTGGAAACCTTTATTTTGCTGACAACTAGAAAAAAAAAGGTCTCACATTAATTTGTGAGAGACAACTATTCAAAAACATGGCGCATAAAAAAGCAGTTAGTTGACAGGGCAAGAGTGGAAAATTATTTCAGGACAGAGGATTTGACTTTCCAACCCTAAAATATTTTCTCCTCCTTAACGTGGCTAGTGAGCCCAGAGACTGCCCATCAGTAAAACCTGTAAGGATGAGAATTGGCAGAGGAACTTATGACATGCGGAAACCACAGTAGCAGTTCTGAAGGCACTCTGAGGTCACAGGAATCTGAATCATAGGTCCCTTCAAAGCTCACCGTCTATCTTAGATGGACTGAGATGAAGATGGACTCACTTGGAACGCTTTAGAAAACAGCAAAGCCCTTCCTGCTCTCCATCTTTCCTTTGTTGTTGTTTGCTCATACTTAACTTCCTACATATTTTAAACGGGCATCAGGAAGAGATGACACTGCTTTCATTTCTACACAACAAGAAAACTTCCTTGACTAACTGAAAGTGAAATTTTTTTTTTTTTATCTTCGCTGGCAAAAAAGTCCTTCTACAACTCAGCATTTCTGTCAAAAGCCAAGTATGTCTGTGAAAAATGCTGAAATTTGGATTTTATTTAAGACAAAATGGAAAATCAAGTTTCATGCTCCAATTTGATTTTCCCTTTGTTCAGTAGCCACACTGCAGTTCACCTCACACTAGGGCTGGTAAAAGAAAGCTCCATCTGGAAATCCTCATTTTAAAAGTTGGAAATGAATATAACTCATACATACAACAAAACTTTCCTCTTTGGTCATGACTATAGCAACTCAGATGAATGGCAGTGAAATACAACGTGATGGAAATGTGAGCTTCCAGGTCAAGCAAACTGCAGTCTGAACCCTGTCTCCACAGCTTATTGTGTGACCCTGTGTAAAGGACCTGACTTTCCTGAGCCTCAGTTTCCTCACTTGCAAAATGAAAATAACCCCCTGAAGGATTCTAGAGATTAGAAATTATTCATTCACGTAAGGCACCTAGCACAGTGCCTGACAGATAGGAGGTTCTCAATGACTACTAAGCGGCAAGAACAGGATGTGTTCCAATTCCAAATCCATCTACTGCTTCCTTTCTGGAAGTGTGTCCCTGCCTGAATGCTACCCTTTGCCAGAGGGATGTAGGCGTATTCCTGTTCAAGTTCAGAAGATTTGGTGAGATTAAAAAAGCTCAAAGACTACATCAAAAATTTGTCTCATAAAAATTGCAAACACAGAAAAGTTCCTTGATTAAGGAAGCGAATCATTTGTTACATAACTTCTATAAAAGACTGAGATGCAAATTAAATCCAAATTTTGCCAGTCAGCATGGTGTACTCGAATGAGCATGAGATTGGGAACCGGAAGACAGAGTTTCTGATGCAGACTCCATCAGTAATTTTCCACAAGCAGCCACTCCTCTGTACCCCAGTCTGTTTATTAGCATAAATGAAGGAGTTGGAGGGTGACCAGATCCAGTTAAATAAACATTAAAAAAATCCCATGATTTTGCATGTACATCATGATGAAAGCCAAAACAAAAAGATAGTTCACATCTTGGGATCCTGTTTACATCCCTGTGTTAAGGGATAATCATTTGTCAGTTTCAGTGAAACTTTGTACATGGCTTCTGTTTTCATGTAAGAGTAACCAAGTACTCGTTGAACAATAATATTTATGCAAAAAATCTTTGCCTACTTAATAAGTTCCAGCAAGTACTCATGCATGGAAGTAAGGTTTAGAGATGATAGGTGTAAATTTCCAATGAGGGCAAGACCCTAGATGTAAAAATAAATGAGTGGGATCCTTAGATGTCATAGCTCAGTAGATAAGCATGTGTTTTAGAGTAAGACATTATTTTATTGCTTATTAGGTGGGGACTAGGCAAGTTACTTAATCTCTCTAAGCCTCATTTCCTTATCTATATGATGGAGGAAAAGTAGCTACTGTATTTCACTGCTGAAAGAATTATTGAGATAAACACAGGTGAAGTAGAATGCCTGATATCTACCAAGTACTCAATAAATGCTAGCTATTTAAAAAAAAGTATATATAAAAAAATCTTAACCCATTTACTTTTCACTCTTTCTCTCTACAAATGCTAATCTACACCTTGGTAGATCTTTCAACTGAGCCTAATTGTGATATGGTCCATTGGAAATGTATGGGAAGAAAGATGAGGTGGAAAGAGAAAAGAGAAAGAGGTTAGGAAGAGAAAAAGAGTGGCCATCAAGAAAGAGGAAACTGGTTAATAGCAAGGAAGGACAGGGAAAAAGTCAAAGAGTTAAGTCAATGGGCTTTCTGATGATAAGGCCCTGCAACTAACCCAGAAGGCCATATTTGTGGTGGTAGCCTCCACTGTCCCAAATATCGTGCAGAGGAGAAGAAGGCTCAGTTAGAACCAGAAGATGGGGTGGAAGCCATTATCTGGCCCATTATTTGTTTCCTCTGTGAAACGAGAGGTTTGGACTAAGCTGACTTCTGTCCATTCTAGTTCAACACACTCTCAGATTCCAATTCTGTCTTTGATATGCATCAGACTTACCAGCCTTATAGGAAAGTCTCCCCATGAAAGAACAAAGCACAGACTCCTTACCGAAGACGTGGACGAATTTGACGAAATAGGCTGTCTTTTTCCACTTCAGTCTTCCCTCTCACGTTTTCTAGAACTTTCTTTGTAACAACTCTCTTGCCATTCACTATCTGGCTACAAGTGGAGACCAGTCTGAAGTTTCCCATTCCACTGCTTACAAAGGGTACAAATGTTCCAGAGGAAGGGGGATTTGGTCTGGAGCCCAGGGATACAAATGTGGAAAATCCTGTGTCCAATATGGTGATCACATCAAAGAAGGAGGAGCGAAATCTCCTGGCCTTACCCACATGACCAATGGAAAAATAATCTCCTGAGAAGAAGTCTTTGTCTTCAAAGACATTTTGAAACCCACAGTGTGGCCTCTCAAACCGTGGTGCCTCTTTCAAGCAGTTTTTATCTCTGCAGTCACCTGTATTTTCCATTTTGATGTGGTTCTCTTTGGACTTGTCATAGTTGTTGCGTTTCTCGACATCAGACAAGACCTCATAGGCTTCTGCTACTTGTTTGAATTTCTCCTCAGCTGCCTCCCTGTTCTCTGGGTTCTTGTCTGGATGTACCTGAAGAGCTAACTGGCGGTAAGCCTCCTTAATATCAGAGGGGGACACGTTTTGAGGCACCCCTAGTACTTTGTAGTAATTCACCATGTTTCTTTAAAGGACCTCTCCTTACCAAGACAAAGAGTTTGTTTTCAGAAGAACTTCCATGTACTTTTGGAAAGTAAGATCGTGAACTACTCCAGTCTACACCAAGACCCTTTGAATCTTATCATATAGTTGTTGGAACAAACTCTTCTGGAGAGGAAATTCCTCT